AGTAATGAAGATGTAATACCCCTATTAGGGACAATGAGGCTTGCCAAGTTTGTATCTTAGAGTTTGTATCTTAGTATCATCAAATATCCCCACCAATTCAAAGTCTCTCGGCTCCCCGACCGCAGGCTTTTCGTTGACCACGACTCTGAACACTGCAACTACTACCCACTCCTCAATGCCTACTAGTACGGTTTCCACCCAAGTCGAGACTCAACATTCAGAAGACATTCCCACTCTCCCAACTTCCTCAACTTCATCACCTCTACTCCCACAACCTTCTTTATCAATCACCCCATCCTCTCTTATTACTACCTTACAACCTTATTCTCCATCTCCGGAATAGTAACCCTCTCAACAATACTCCCTTTCCCACGCGTCCTCGTCCTTCTACCACCCCCAACTCCACAAATATCTTAAATACTCTATTTAGCCCAGCCAAATGGGACCGATTTTTCGTGATCCCCTCTACAGCTCCTTACTCAGGCAACACTCTTCCTTTTCAACAATGTCTCCAAAAGAAAGTGGGCAGTGTCCCCTTCCGTACCCGACCTGATCGTTCCCGTCTCGTTACAGTTACATCTGAAACAAGCTATAGCATTATCAAATCTAACTGATTTCTCTGGCAACCCCATTCCTGCACAACCTCATCCAACTGCCTTAATGGATATGGATTGGTCAGAAGACATACTCGGCTGCCCCAAAGATCGTGGTGTGATATCAGTACAGTGCTACTCCATTTCTCCTAGAGGTCATCGAAAGAACCCCACCAACATTGCCAAAATTACTTCCCATATACATGATCTTCCCTTTCATATCTACATTGGTGGACAATCGCTCCCTGTTCGACCATGCCAACCTCCTCCCCGTCAATGCCAAAATTGTTGACGCTTTGGACATCCTGCCAAACACTGCCGTTCAGCAGCCCGATGCCCCCATATGCCAACCTGGTCATAACCCCCCCCCCAAAAAAAAAAAAAAAAAAAAAACTGCTCTGCACAAACGCGCATATGTGTTAACTGCGGCGGCCCCCATAACATATTTTATAGAGGCTACCCCACGTACAAGTTTGAGTCTGAGGTAGCAACTCTCACTCTTGGTCTCACTCTGCGTGAAGCCAGACAGGAAGCACGTCGACAAGGTTTATCTTATACTCCCTACTCGAGTAACATCGCTCGCTCTGCCCCTCCCCCTCTATCCCAAGATGTTCCTACACCCTCCTCTATACCTACTTACTTCCCCATTTTCACTTCTACCTCCTACCTTCCTCAGCCAAATTCTTTTGCCACTCTAAATCCAGACACTCCAATCTCAACTACATCCCCAACACCATCCCCTCTCACTCCCCTCACTACCCGCAGCAGACTAAACGTTCCACCCCTTCTCCTACCACACACTCACATTCACCTACATCTGCCTTTACTCCTCAGACACCAGTCTCCTCTTCCCCTCCTCATAAGAAAACCTTTGTCTCACAAAACTCTCCAACTCCACTGCAGAAACTATGGAAAATATTAAAAACTATGTGCTCGAGGCACAAAATTCCACAACTCATGCTCTTTCCACACTCGAAGTGACTGCCGATATCCATCTTCCTCCTACTCATATTCCCCTAACACCCTTTCCTTCTACTCCCTCCCAACACAACCCATCCCCCTCAACTCCAATTACTACCAATATCTATCCTCCTCCTACTCATATTCCCCTTACACCCCTTCCTTCTACTCCATCCCAACACAACCCATCCCCCACAACTCCAACTACTACCGATATCCATCCTTCTATAACTCATATTCCCCCCACATCACTGCATTAATTAAATGCGTTACAGTGAACATGTAGGAAAAGCAATACAATTACCTAAATATATCAAGTAATTACATACAAGGCATTTTGACTCGATAAAAAGAAATGCTTTCATCGCAGCTCGCTGCTCGTGAAATCATATGATGAATACTCGATTTTTAAAGACCTACAGTCAAAATAATAGAAATATAATCTAAAAACACAATTCCTTTGAGCTTTAATTTATTTAAGGTATATACAACACTTAAATATTTTTGTTTACATGAAAGTAATAAGCTTTTCATACACGATGCTGAAGTCAACGGATTTTTTTGGGGAGGCAGTGTTTACGACTGGAAATGGTGCAGATTTACGTGGAGTTTTCATTTTGCTTGAGCTTGTAAATTGTATTTTCATTGAAGTATTGTTGCAAAGGGATGTGAAAGTTGTAAAATTACAATAAGGACTAGTGACTGTCGCCAGTTTAGCGATGTATTTCCTGTATTAATTAAAAATAATTTATTTTCACTGGCATCTGTAGTGCCAGACTTAACGCTCAGTGAAGGGCCCTGGGGAAGAAATGCTGTCACGCATGCGCAGAAGCAAGGGGGCCGGGCTTGTTCTCGACCAGATGATGGGCTCCGCCTCTACAAACGATGACATGATGAACTCGAAATGTCTGGCATAAAACCCGGGAGGTGTTGCAATCCTGCATCTGGTGTATTGGCTGGGATGTCCCTAGGCTGTCATCTTTTTTTGCCAAACCCGGGACGTCCCTGGTTTGGGAGAGTGACGTCACAGATTGCTGAGTGGCTAATGGGTATGCCGCTGCCAGGCGTAAAAGGAAAGGTGAAACTGTCCTACACTTCAGTCTAGACATGGCGCCATGGGAATCGCATCCAGAAGTGTATAGAATAGAATGACTCTCTCTCTCTCTCTATTTCCATTTCCATAAACATAACTGCATAATCCACCTCTGTCTCCCTCCCTCTCTGTCATTCACTCTCTCTCGGAAATAAATATGACTATATAACCTCTACACGAAATTGCTTAAGCGTTCAACCAAAACATCAATATGGCATAGGCATCTACTGTTAAATGAACATGTAGCAGCGGCAATACAATTACCCAAATATATC